TTAGTTTGATTAAGTTTTTAATTTATAAAATATCATTTTATCACAGTGGTGATCTGGTAGTCGGTAAATATTGCTAGGGTTTTCATTTTCTGTCTTTAATGTAATTTCGGGGGGGGGGGGGGGGGGGAACATCTAATGAAATACCTATAGACGGAGCTACTGTATTTGGCGAGGTGAGTACAGGCCGAGGTTTGGATGGTGAGTGATAGAGACAGAGAACAATGCACGTCATTTGGTAAGCGTAGACCCTTATGTGATGCTTTATAGTCAAAACAAGGTAATTAAAAAGTCTAGTGACAATTTTAGCGCAATTTCCTTATGTTATCTAAAAATAGCTCTGTCGTAGCGTAAATCAAGAGCAGGGTTAGAAAACCATTGGTTAGTTATTAAAAACGTTTTTTATTTTAAAAAATTCAGTATTTTTACATGTTTTATTTACAATAGAGTTACATGACTAAAAACCATTGCGCGCTAGCTTACCGAACGTGCGACTTGAAACATGTACCAATCGATTCCTGCCATAATTTAGAACAATATTGCCGAAGAAAGTTTTCAAAAAATATCCTTTCGTTTGGTCACAAAATTTTTTTTGAATTAATTAAAATTTGGACCGAATTAGTAGGCATTTTTATCCAACCACACACACACGCGTCATCACGTTCAATAGCTGCGCCATCACGTTCGATAGACGCGCAATGGTTTTTAGTCATGTAACACTATTGTAAATAAAGCATGTAAAGTACTGAAAAAAAATTCATAAAAAAACGTTTTAATAACAAGCTTTTATGTACTAATGCACTAAACAGTAGAAAATTAATTATACACTACTATTTAAATTACTATAAAGAAAAGCGTGGGTCTCTTCTCAAATATTAGTAAAGGTATCCAATAGGTACTAAAGTACTAAAGTGACCCACGCTTTTCTTTATAGTAATTTAAATAGTAGTGTAAAATTTATTTTCTACTTTTTAGTGCATTAGTACATAAAAGCTTGTTATTAAAACGTTTTTTTATGAATTTTTTTTTAGCTATTTATTTGTTACTTTGCTATGTTACTAATCATGTTGAACGAGTAGTAAAGCACATGGCGTTTTGACCAATTACTATTATAAAAATAAATTTTCAAACAAGTTTAAAAGTACTTAGGGCCTATGAATTAAGTGGAACGGGCACACGTGTCTAGTGAAGCAATAATTGACTCCCGCCCACATAAAAACGAAAAACACTTTCAAAGTGCTGACTGAAAATGAGTGAAATTGATAGCACTCTGAATATAAATTATCGGTATTGCGATCTTTCAGTAAGTTGTTGCGTTTGAACTTTATAACCCGAGCATAACTAAGCTGTCCACATGTCGGGTCACTTAATGGTGTCACCCCCTCAGAGGCGTAGCGACTCTTCCCGGGAACAAATTTTACGATTTGCACCCCACCTCGAACTTTTGATTTGCACCCCCCCCCCCCCCTCAAACATTCGATTTGCACCCCACCCCCCCTCAAATTTTTCTCTATATATTTTACTATTTTTGCCTTGTGTCACCCCCCCCGTAAATGGTGTCACCCGGTACGGTCCGCCCCCCCGCCCCCCCCCCCCCTCGCTACGCCTCTGCACATGACTCCACCCACTAGGCCATGATGGCTACTCTAGATTTTTAAAAAAATACAATTTTGAAATAATAAAAAAAAACTTGGGGTTTCGTTCATTTTTTTAAGCAAATAAACTCAACCCAAAGGAAAACAACACTCGTGACCAGCTTAAAGACATGCAGAGACGCAAAATAGAGCGTTATAAACCCACCATAATAATTTTTTGTGCAGGTTATATTTTATTAATTTTTTTCCAAACTCTTATAAAAAACAATAACTGCGGTTTTATTCTGAAATATTTACTGGCTGGGTCAGAAACATGTAGCCTTATACATTGTTTTTTTTTAATTGACAAAAAGTCATTTGCCAATGTAGACGCGTGTGGACAGAGGAATGTGGAAGTGTTTATAATCAATAATTATTAGGGACGTCTAAATGGATGATCCTTTGATAAAATATATTAATTTTTTTAAATATCAAATACTGATTGAGCGTCACTAATTTCTGATGTAATTTCAGAATAAAAAATAATTACACTTAGGACGAATGTTTCTAATATTAGTTTAACTGACTAATTAAAATTGTATTAAAAGCAAGCGTATTGAATTTCAAAATTATACAAAAATATTGTTTAATTATAAGTAAAACACGTAATATGAAAAGTTGTCCGAATGTGTCATTGCTCCAATCGCCATCTGTTTTTTTGACTCCACTTGAAGATCAATCATCGAGATCATTTTACGATTCATTGTTCTGAGTGGTCATACGGTCGGACGAGTACCGAACTGGGTTGTTACTAATACAACCATACGATTTATCGGAAAGTATTTATTTCCATGAGTCAGCACACCTATATTTAAAACTGTATTAGTTTGCGTAAAATAGTTTATTTTGGGATAATTAAGCTTATGGAAATATTTAGAGCCAAGCTATGTTATTAAATAAACCAGGAGTGATCTCCCCTAAACTTTCTCAAATATTCTATGGGATGGCAACTCGAAATATAGACATGATTTCTGTTTACTTAAACTTTTAAAAATAGAATAGAATCTAGTAAAAAAAAAGAATTGCGCACCAAGTGAATGCCAAATAAAAATGTGCATAATAGTGCGCAATATTATTAGTGCCTTATAAATTTACATTCGTTTTTAGAGAAATCGGAAATAGCGTAAATTAGTACTTTCGGTCAACGGAAATTACTCAAAATTTGACAGAAGGTAGAGAATTAGATCTTTTACTTACATGTGAAATTTCATTTATCTATCTGAAATAGTACTCAAGTTATAGGCTTTGAAAAATTCAAAGTAAAAAAGTACCACTTCCGTTTATCGGAAATCGCTCAAAAGTTAATACGGATCTACGATTTTGATAAAATACTTATATATGGAATTTCATCAACCTAGCTGTAACGGTATTCAAGTTATCGTGTTTAGTATAATAAGGACTTACTGCAGGAAATAACTAGAAACTTGGTTTTTATTCAAAGTTATTAAGGGTTTGTTTATATATATATATATATATATATATATATATATATATATATATATATATATATATATATATATATATATATATATATATATATATATATATATATATATATATATATATATATATATATATATATATATATATATATATAATCCTATATATATAATAATATATTATATTGTTATGTAATATATTTGTGTATATTAAAAAATTTCACGTATAAAGCGAGAATTGTGCTTTACATTTTTATGGGTAATGTTTGTGTTTTTAGACATCGAAAATATCCAAACTGCTACCTGATACGAGGGTGAGTGATTTCTGAATTGAAGACCCGTAATTTAAAGCCGCGCATTTATAATATAAGATTAGATTTTAAAAAAAACAATAAAAATAAACAACGAAGAAAACAACAAAGATGTATTTCATATGTATTAAAATAATCTTGACATATTTCAATGCTAATTTGTGCCAATATAAATGCTTAAATAAAAATATTAAAAAATAGATTTAAAAATCTACATAACGTGGCCGTCACCTTAATTGGTAACATGAAATCAATACTAATCGGTCCAATAAATGTCTTGTAATTTTTCTCTCCCCTTGAACATTTTTAAGTGGATAAAAAAAAAATGTTTCCTACAATGAAATCCCAACACCAGGTGCCTGGGTGTATTTAAAGACGGTGTAACACAACCATAGAAAAAAATATTATCTCAAAGAAAGTACTCAAGATATAAAATATGTGGGTATATGAAAGCTGGCTAACTCATTACATTACGGCATACAGTGTGGCTGTATGTTACCTATATCGAATCATTACATACACTGAAATAAACACCTATTTAGTGTATCTAATATAAATACCTTGCAAAATTTGTGTATAAAATTAAAAGTTTTTACAAAATAATCTATTTTTACGTTATATCAGGGGGGCGCCAAAATGGGTTGGAAAAATAAATTGAAAGGTGTGCAAATCGAAATCTCGACGGGGGGGGGGGGGGGGGGTGCAAATCGAAAGTTTGAGGGGGGGGTGCAAATCGAAATCTCAAGGGGGGGGGGGGTGCAAATCGAAAAGTTTGTCCCCGGGCGCCGGGAAGGGTCGCTACGCCTCTGCGTTATATGCTTTGCTTATATAAAAAGAGTTAAGGTTTATTAATATATTCACTTTGTAAGTCAAGATTCAATAAATCGGGAGTGATCTAGGGATATAGACATGATTTTTAATCCATTTTTATTTACTTTAACTTTTAAAAATAGAATAAAATCTCGTAGAAAAAAAAAAGAAATGTGCATCAAGTAAAGGGCAAATAATATCTGAATAATAGTGCGGAATATTATTACTTATACATTTCTATTACTTTTTTGAGAACAAAGAAATATTGTAAATTACTACTTCCGGTCAACGGAAATTACTAAAAAGTTGACAGAAGGCAGAGAATTCGATCTTTTACGTACATGTGAAATTCCATTTATCAGATCAGAAACTACTCAAGTTTTAGGCTTTTGAAAAATTGAAAGTAGAATAAGTTCAACTTTGAGTTATCGGAAGTCGCTGAAAAGTTGATGCAGAGCTACAAATTTATATAATTCTTATATATAACATTTTATCAACCTAGCTTTAACGGTACTGAAGTTATCGTGTTCACAGACATACACACACAAACATACACATATAGACACACGGACAAAGCTGCAAAACTATGTTTTTCCCACTCATGGAGGTTTAAAACGTCGAAAAAGATTTTTTGCACGATTACAATACTTCCTCTATATTTCGTATACGAGAAAGTAAAAAGCGCATAAAGTTGAATTATCCTTAAAATCTAAATGTTTTACAAAGAAATACTTCTATGACAATACAAACAGGTAAACCACCTGCTGTTGTAAATCACTAGAGAAGTGGTTCTGAATTTACAACCCTAATTAATGCAGTCTCTCAGTTGCACGGAGGCGGTATGGAAAGGGTGAGGATGTGATGCCAACGGTACCCTGGAGTGAAGGTAAATTGTTCTCATCTTCAGGAAGGAACTTGAACTTCTGAAACAAAGACGCCATGTAGAGGTACAGTTCCATCTTGGCCAGAGACTCGCCTAGGCACGCCCTGCGGCCCATAGAAAATGGAATAAACTCGTCAGGAATTTGGAGGTTACCATCCCCATCAATAAATCTTTCAGGTCGGAAAATTTCCGGATCTCCCCAAATGTTTTTACTTCTTAACACTGAGTCAAGATTTGAAATAATTTTCGTCCCTTTTGGTATGGTGTATGTTTCGAATTTCGTATCAGCCAAGCAGTCGTAAAGAGTAAATGGAAATAGGCTAGCGATTCTCTGTGTTTCCATGATGAAAGCAATCAAGTATTTCAAGTTCTGTTTGTCCATCATGTTAGGGGCTCGTTCTGTTCCGACCTTCTCTAAAATTTCCTGGTACACTTTCTCTTGTAGGTCTGGATGATGAATGGAGTACAGCAGACACCACAAGATTGTTGTACTTGTAGTCTCAGTCCCTGCGACAAAAAGATCATCAATACACCGAGCTAAGTTTTCATAACTTAAATGTGTCGGCTGGCCGGATTTTTCTTTTTTCTTCATTGCTTGAATGTATGCCACGATAAAATTATCAACATTTTCAGGATTCAATTCTTTCCCGATTTTTTCAACCATTAATTCGCTGTTTCTTTGAAGCTCATTCGTCGCATTCAATGCCTTTTTTGCTCCGAAGAAATCAAACGGCAAATATATCAGTGAAGGAATAATGTTAACAATGTTAAAAACGTCGCTGTATTCCGACAATATACCAAAGAGACCAATAATTTTCTTAAACTGTTGGTCATCAAATTGAAATCGTTGGCCGAAAATTACAGAACAAATGATATTTGACACGCTCATATTTGTCAGTGATTTAATGTCAGACAATTCGGCTTTCAACAGAGACAATTCCTTCAAGTATACAAAAACCTCCTCGGAAATTTTCTCCGCGAGTATATTTTTCCCCATGCCGAGATTTCTGAGGATGGTCAATGCCTCTGCTCGTTGTTCTTTCCATAGCGGACCTGTCGAAAAGATGAGTCCATTGTTTCTTGTGGGTACGTGGACTCCTAAAAAATCAACAGTTGTTCTTCCTGTCAATGTGTCAGCCTCTGTAATTGTCACTTTTTTAATTAACTCATAATCATTAATAAAAATAAAATCTTGTGTCCCCATACGAAAACTGAACATGGGGCCAAGTTTTTCAGTCCATTCTTTGAATTGTTTTCTGGAATTTTCGGTATCTAGCATATACAAGTGTCCGATAATTGGTAAACAAATTCCTGGAGATGGCGGTAGGTTCTTGGATCTACTGTTCCACCAGAAAAGCGTGAGAATTAGAAGAGATGTAAATATTATCCAGTTTAATAAAATAAACGTTGAAAACAATTCGGCTAGCATCTTTTGACCTGCAGATCAACAAAAACATTAATCATTAATAAACAGAGCACTATTTTGTATTGTCTCTTTCATTTAAAGGGACTTTTTATAAAAATCGCAACGTTTGTGTTTGGACGAACTTTCCGACCTTCCCGTAATTAACATCTTTAATAAAAGAAGAATTTCCTTTACAAGGGTCCACTTTTATTTGTTTCACCTAATCTCTTCCTCAAGAAAAAATGTAGTACTTTTAAACATGTGTTCTAGATTTAAAATAAAATACTAACTCCTGTTACAGATTAATTATGCTAGATCTTACTTTATATACACACATACATACACACATACGGAAAGAATTGCAAACCGTTTTTACTTTCTCGTAAATACGAAGTATAGAGAAAGTCTTGTAATCGTGCGAAAAAAAAGAAGAAAAAAACGAGATTTTTGCAAATCTCGACGTTTTACACCTCCATGAGTTGGAAAAACATAGTTTTGCAATCTTGTCCGTAATTAATAAACCGGGAGTAATCTCCCCTAAACTTTCTCGAATATTCTTATATAAAACAACAGGGGATGGCAACTCGGGATATAGACATTATTTTTAATCCATTTCAAATACTTAAACTTTATAAAATAGAATAGAATCTCGTAGAAAATGTAATTGAACACCAAGCGAACGCATAATAGTGCGGAATATTATTAGTACTTTATAAATTTACATGCGTGTTTTTTGAGAAATCAGAAAAAGCGAAAATAACTACTTTCGGTCAACGGAAATTACTTTAAATTTGAAAGTTGGCAGATAATTAGATTTTTTACTTACATGTAAAATTTCATTTATCTATCTGAAATAGTACTCATGTTATATGCTTTTGAAAAATTCAAAGTAGAAAAAGTTTTAATTCCTGTTATCGGAAATCGCTCAAAAGTTGATACGGATCTACAAATTTGATAGAATACTTATACATGAAATTTCATCAACCTATCTGTGACAGTACTCAAGTTATCGTGTTTACAGACACACACAGACACATACACATACATATACACACACACAGACATACGGACAAAATTGCAAAATTTGTTTTTCCGACTCAGGGAAGCTGTAAAACGTCGAGATTTGCAAAATTCTCGATTTTTTTGCACGATTACAAGCCTTTCTCGATACTTCGAATATACAAGAAAGAAAAAAATGAATTTAAAATCATATCTATATCCCGAATTGCCATTTCTCGCTGTTTTATATTAGAATATTCGAGAAAGTTTATGGGAGGTCACTGCCAGTTAATTTGCCTCGATTACGCGTAAAACGCCGAAATTTTGATAAATCTGGATTTAGAATTTGTGCCCTAGTAAATTAAGTCCCCTATAGGCCTACTCCGTAAAACTGAAAACTGTAAAAATTTCATGTGATTTTTGTGCACGATTCCAATACTTCCTCTAAATGCTGTATACGAGAAAGTAAAAAGTATGAAATAACCATGCGTTAATAGAAGTTTAATTTTCATTACCTTTCTACTTGCTATATATCAAACAGAAATTGTATGCTACTCAAGCTTGGTTGGGCTGCACCGTGTGGACTGAATTTAATATCGTTGCAGCCAGCTTCGACGTGGTCTGTTGAAAAGTGGGCCATGGTTCGCTTGCGCCTTGCTTGGACTGGCAAAGCGGGTGAGAAACCAGTGGCGTAGTTAGAGGGGGCGGCTGCCCCAGGCGCCGTCAATAGGGGGGGGGGAAGGAGGGGCGCCAAGAGGCGTAGCAGTGTTTCTTCCAGACTTTTTCTCCGGGGGGGGGGGGGGGGCACTTGATATTTCCGCCCCCCCCCCCCCCCCCGAAGAAATGCCTGGAAGAATTTCTGATGGATAGAAAAAAGTAAGAAGCTAAATTAAGTTGCAAATGTGAACAATAAACATCCAAAGTTAAGGAATTTACTGATTTTTTTGCCTAGTAAAAACTGGAGGATTTACTCTGGTAGAAGTGTGTTTAAAATTGTTTGTAATAAAAAAATAAAAATATTAGTCTTAAATTGTGAAATATACTGGATAATAATATTCAATTGCATCTTTTATTACTTGTCGAGTATAAATCCAGGATACATGTGTTACATCTCTGTTATTACAACTACAGTACTTTTAAAATCGTGCTTGATTATAACTTATCTTTTACAACTCGTAACTATACAAAAAATTGATTCAGATAACCAAATAAAACAAATCTCCCAATTCCTTTCTTTTAAATATGCCTACTGTTGTAAAAATGTTAAAGTTATAGTACTGCTTTCTATGTCCGATGGAAAACACAATATGATTATAATAATCATGTAACTTTATATTACTTTATTATTATTTCATTATTTGCAGATCTGATAATAAAGTAAGCTAGTGTTGTAATAGGGCATATACTTACAAGTCGTATTTTATATGCTAAGCAAGATCAATCAGAATTACATTATTATTTTAGGGAGAGCTCACGTTAAATAAACAATGTTTGACATGATGCGTTGACAGCTACAGTTTGCACTGTAGAGCGTGGGCGTTGATGTCAGTCTAAGGCTGCGGCAGACCAAATTTTTTCATCTGACGTCAGGTGCTGTCCAATCTGCCAAAGAGGGGTGCGCCGAGAGGCGTAGCCACCCTTCCCGGCGCCCGGGGACAAACTTTCAATTTGGCGCCCCCTCGGGAGCAAATTTTCAATTTACACCCCTCCCTCCCTCAACTTTTCGATTTACATCCCCCCTCTAACTTTCGATTTCCACCCCTCCTCCCCCCCCCCTTAAACTGCAAAAATTCAGCTAAATTGACTTTTTAAATTTGATTTTACAACCCATTTTGGCGCCCCCTCAGTTCGGCGCCCGGGGACATATGTCCCCTCCCCCTGTCCCCCCCCCCATCGCTACGCCTCTGGGTGCGCCCCAGCGGTTACACTGCAGCCCGTCAGAACGATTGCCTGACTAACGGCAAGCATTGTTTTCAAAACAAAAATGGACGACCTAATGCAGATTCCTTTTTTAGCAGAAAACATGCTTCTCAAGATTTTATTACTAAACGAAAAGGAATGGGTTAATCCTATATTTGCTGAGAGAGAAAAATGTGGCGAATTCCACACATTGTTGCCAAAAACTGCTGGAGCAGCCCCAGAAATTCTACGAGTACTTTAGAATGAACAAAGACACCTTTGCGTACATACTCAACACTATTAGGCCGTTTATAGAAAAACATAGTAGCTTCAGGAAATGCATTTCTCCAGAGGAACGCCTGGCGTTGACATTGAGGCAAACAGTGTTTCTTCCAGACTTTTTTCTCCGGGGGGGCACTTGAAATTTTCGGGGGGGCGGTAGACTTTCTTCGGGGGGGCGGACACTGTTAAAAGTATATATTTTCTATATAAATTATATAAATTTCATTTCGTTCGGGGGGGCGGTAAAAAATTTTCGGGGGGGCTTCGCCCCCCCGAAGAGATGCCTGGAAGAAACTCTGGAGGCAAATATCTGTAGTGTTAACACACTAAATAGCATATTTTGTTACAGATGTGTTCTATACATTTAAAAAAAAGCAATAACTAAGCTATAAATGTATTAAATTAGGTTGGAATGTCCCAGTAGTGGGGAGTAGATCAATACAGTCATTACCTGCTTCTAGTGTTTAATTTAATCAATTTCTTTTCCAGATACCTATCTACTGGATTAGCCTTCAGATCTTTGGCCTTTTCATATCGAATCGCCCACTCAACTATTTAAAGTGCAAAGGAGTTTTTACATAGTGGCAACTGAAAATTGGAATTTTGTAAGAATTTCTAGGATTATCTGTCTGATGTGTGAGTTTGGGGAAAAAAAACATGTAAAGAGATTTAGTATGATAATACTGTCATTATGTTTTAAGAAATAATCGCTTGTTCACTATTGTTCATTATAATAACCTCTCCTAGACAGAATGTTTAAGATACATGAGTACGTAACATTATTTAGCAATGGAAGGACACCTAGCTCCGTTATAGGTATCTGTTCAACGATAAGAATGCCCCCCCCCCCCTCCACTTGATGACTGAACCAGCCATAACGGTCAAAACAATTTTTCCCTTTGTGCAAATAAAATATCAAATATCTATTAGCAAAAATCTAAATTGTATCATTAGATTGAACCTGTTATTTGTTTTTTTTTTTGTCTGAGATCATTAAATTCCTGAGATTATGTGTAACACATACCATGGTTACCAGTCATGGTGGATATGTTATAATTTATTTGGTTGCGGCCCTTGTGGGACCGCAACTGTGATTTTACCCGTGTTCCCATGCCATGTGACCTCTGGGACTCTGGGTAGTTTGTAACTGTGTCCGCGGCATTCAAACCCCAGGCTGCTTGGACACCTACGGTGCCGTTGCCTATGTTAACTTGGTCATGTAGACCTAACGGAGGTTTTGTACATTATATTTTACTAGCAGTTGGTACCCGTTTCACGTGGGTTATAGGTTTATATTTTTTATGTTATAGGCCTACATTTTTCAGAAGAATATTTTATAAAATAGTTTTTGGTCAAAACGCAATGTGCTTTAGTACAGGTTTAACGATATTAGTGACAAAGCAAAGAAATAACTAAATAGCTATAAGTCCGACACAATTAAAATAACATAGGCTACCTATTACTATTAGAAAAAATATAACCAAATTATATACATAATTAGTCAACACAACACCATATCGAATGCACACATTGATTAAAAGACTTAAATGATTCCGTTAAAAACCCGGCTTTTCAATGGTATTTATGTTGTTTTTTAAAGTAATTTGTATTAGTTTTGGCCGAGGAAATTGTATAAATTTAATAAATTACGTCTCGATAAGTAAATCTATAGATCTAAATCAAATTTTAATGAAATTGTTCATTTCTTCTTTTTCTAAAATTGGAAGATTACGCCATTGGTTTTGTGTACTTTCCGTACTTCAAACATATGACATGTGACGTCATCGATTTCGGCGTTCTTGTCTCAACTATAAACACTTTTTCCGGTTGCATAATTAAAACTGTTTTCCTACATTTGAATATGCTTTTATTTTTTATTTTTGTTCTTTAAATAAAATTTTGTTTATACATTTAAAACATCTGCCATATTATTTTCAACAAAAGTCCGTCTCAAGTTCTCCATATATCGCTGAAGATTCTGATGTGATATCCTGCGAAAATATTTTGCGGACAGAGAGAGAGAGAGAGAGAGAGAGAGAGAGAGAGAGAGAGAGAGAGAGAAGTGCGCACATGGGCTTTTATATATTAGGATATTGTTTTTTATCATACTAGTGCAGACTAGGTATGAAAAATATATTATGTAGATTACTTGTGTATATTATTCCTACTAGTGCTGGGTATGGGAAGTATCTCATTTAGATTACTTGTTGGTATTATTCCTGCTAGTGCTGCATGTTGCGGACTAGTTAAGTTAAGTATGTATCATTGTAATACTTGTTGGAAGTATGGTGCACTAACCGTAACCTATTTTATGACACCCGTGTATTTTTGTAGCCTACACGTGGAAGTAATCTATTGTTGATTTCATTTGTTTTAGGGTTATATAGCTGTTTATGGCGTGGACATTCATGAACCAGCCGTATACGGAGTTGAAATAAAGCAAGGATCTAACAACCAAACGTCATTTCGTTGTGTGTTATCTCCCAGGGTCAGTCCTTTTAAACACTACACCTCAGTGGGTAATATTATCCCTACTGACTCAATTGAGGTAGTATTACACACATAACGCTTTAAATTAATGTTTCAAGTGTATTTATTTTCTAATTGAACTTTAAGTCAGTAGTTCTAACCTTAATAACTGATTTAGCCTTACAAACTCACAATCACATACGCAAAAAACGGATAATCTATAAAAACAAAAGCACACATTGACATTTGATAAACTAACGAATCATGTTAAGCTTTTAAGCATAAGTTTAATGAAAACGGTGATACTCTAATGTGATGAATGCAATGTGTAAAATAGCTTTAGTACACACATATTAAAAGTAAGATTTCATTAAAAAATCAGTTTAACACCCCAGCTCATTCTACACCCGCCTGGACGCCTGTCTGTATCATCACGGTAATAATCTGTCCACTGATTGGCCACAGCACACAGATCTCTAGAAGGGGCGGGGCCGCACTGTCCGCCATCGCCGTCAGGGTACCACGAGAAACACATCTTCGATGTTCTCATCCACAGTGGTGCCGAACTTGGGACCTCCAGCTTCCACTGCATCCTGCAACCACCGTTCCGCCTGTCAGTGTCGTCTCGGTACTCTGGTGTGAAGTTGTTGATGTTTGCGCAGAGTAAAGACGCATCCCCGCCTCCACATTGTCCACCATCTCCGTCAGCGTACCATTGGTAACAAACTCTAACTTGGTTAAACCAAGTTGGGAACCCGCTAGACTGGAGACCCCACTGCATACGACATCCGCCTGCGCGTCTGTCTGTATCGTCCCTATACACGGATGTCATAGAATTTGGTTTCGCGCAAAGAAGATTCGCTGCTCCACCTCCGCATTGACCTGCATCGCCGTCAGCCCGCCATTTAAAACATAAATTTGTGTTGTCTGAAAACCAATTAGGAACGATAATCTGATCTTCTATAAACTTCCCTAAATCCTCAACCTCGCTTTCAACCAGAAGAGCTTTGTTAAGCATTGTCGTGACTCTTTCATTACCTCTGTTCAAAACAGCGTCGTCGGATTTTCTTTTAGCTGCAGCAATAAGTCGAATCAACTCGTTCAAATAACTACGAAGAACGTAGTTTCTAACTGCTGTCTCCATGGACGTTCTCTTCGTCTCGTCTGATATTAGATCACTGATTGGTTTAAGCTGACCAGAAAAGAGCCATGGGTCAAGATCGACACTAGGTTGCCATCTCTGGAACCCGCTTTGGGTCAGAAGATTTGTGTCGCCCCCGTAGTACTTCACAGTTTGCGTGGTGGAGCTTTCAAATCTTTGATCAACTGTGGTGGATCCAGTTACCGTTCCTCCGCGTAAAGAAATGATTTTCAAGAAAGATGCCTTGGCGTTTCTTTGAATCTCTCTTTCTGTTTGGGAATAAAAATAATCTGTGTTTGTTTCAAACAGCATCCAGATGAAACCACCGAAATTGGCACTGGAGAAATAGTGAGTACCAAACTCATTGATAAACCGGTTGTAAGCAATAGGGTTAGAGGCGAAAGTTCCTGTAAGCATTCGATCTATGTAGATTTGGGCAAATCGATCCAATTCAAGAGCCCACGACGGGTTGACGTCAACACGAGTTGCTGACTCAAACGACGACACGTCACAGATATACTTGGAGCTGTTGGTGATTGTGTTCTGGAGCTTCTTGTAGTTCTGGCTGGCTGAGAAGGAAAATTTAAACAGAGAACCTTCTCCGCCCACATCAGAAGACATTGAGCGTCTGACTTCGTTGTAGGTTTTGTAGATGTTGACGTCAGCTGTCAGCCATCCTCCCGGAACTGACGTCATATGCCAGATCTGCAAAACGATAAAATATATTAGGTCTTTGTTAAAAATTAAAAGCAAATAAGTAATAGGATATAGTTCAAATTGACATTTGACCCGGAAGATATAGAAATTGTTGACGTGGTTTACGGACCTCCTAGTGACTACATACATGTAGGGACATGAAGCAAATAATTCGCAGTTTTCTTATGAACTAATGTACTGTTTATTTAAATAAAAACGCAGTTATTTAACTACAGAATTAACCACATAATGTCTACATCCAACAAGAGAAGAACAGGTGTAAGGGGTGACATCAAACAAAAAAAAACTAGTTGGTAGAAGTACGTTGGTAAATTTGTTTATTGTCAGTTCTCATTGTAGATTACTTTAAAATGCAAGAATACAAAAACAAATGCAGTTATATAGACCTCGCGTGACATGTAACAACTTGACGTCAATGATTCTAACCTACAAAAGATGCCCACCTTGGTATACACACATAAACGAGAACAAAAATGTGTAAAAAGAATATTTTTAGCAGCAGAGCGGCAGGGATGGGTCGGTGAGATGCGCAACGGAAAACTGCGCACAAACAAAGCGCGCAAGAGCATTTTTGTTTCCTCAGTTCGAAAAATTACAAATATAGACAAAAAATAACTACATGTACATTTTAGCGTAATAAAAAACTTTTCCGCGAAATATGACGGCATTAAAGTGTATTAGTATAACTAGTTATCATTTGCGCATTTTTCTGAGAACATGATTGGGCGGACCAAGTCTGCCGCATAAATTCTACCATAGTAAACTTCGGATCTCACCTGGTCAGGTAGCTGGTAAACCGTCCCTGCTGGACTTCTCCAGTTCCTACCACTGTTGCAGGAGAAATTGAGCACCGGATTCTTAAAGCCGCTGTTGCCTTGGAAATCGATGGGCGCCAAGTCTAGCGTGGTGATGTCAACACCTCGGAATATTTTCTGAACACCAGGGGGCGGGTTGGAGCACTCCGTGACACCAGAAGCACGTGTTATCAACAGGCACACGGAAGCGAGAAAACCCAAGAGATGCTGGTAGACTACCATCTTGTTTGAAACTGGAAAGAAATTACACAATTATTGCACTTGTTATAAAGCTGCACAAAAATAAAGTGGGTGGGGGAGGGTTTATAGTGGTAAGTAAATAAATTTAAATGTTCCACATCGTTTAAAGCAGATTTGGGATTACACATAGGACCTACAACTCTGGATCATATGATAACAAATAATCACGAAACATCTGAATGAGCAATATTTGTTATTAGCAATTCAATGAGTACGGTGATTTCAGAATCCATTTACAACCACATAATAGGCTCAAATACATGATTACAAATACTCTTCGAATTACAATTCACATATTCACATTATATATATATATATATATATATATATATATATATATATATATATATATATATATATATATATATGTATATATATATATATATATATGTATATATATATATATATATATATATATATATATATATATATATATATATATATATATATATATATATGTATATATATATATATATATATATATATATATATATATATATATATAGGGAGAAAAATCTTCATAAAACGAAATACTTACTTAGCCAAAAACGCATATATAAGGCTATGAAATGTGTAGGCCTACTGGTGTTATTTATAATGGGGCTGACAATGCAAACCAGGATCTTTGTCTAGCACATTTTTTATCCGAGGTGACCTATATAGTGGCTGGGGAAAACAGAGTTGAGTAAATTACCGGTTTTTTTTTCCACGTAGCTTCAAGTTGTGGCCGAACATTACGTCCGGTTTGAGATCCTGGTTTTATAAGTATGTTCCTTTTTTAATTAGTTCGGTTATTTAAGTACGTTCCGTTTTTAATTAGTTCGGTTATTTAAGTATGTTCCGTTTTTAATTAGTTCGGTTATTTAAGTATGTTCCGTTTTTAATTAGTTTGGTTATTTAAGTACGTTCCTTTTTTAATTAGTTCGGTTATTTAAGTATGTTCCGTTTTTAATTAGTTTGGTTATTTAAGTATGTTCCGTTTTTAATTAGTTTGGTTATTTAAGTACGTTCCGTTTTTAATTAGTTTGGTTATTTAAATACGTTCCGTTTTTAATTAGTTTGGTTTGATAAGTATGTTCCTATTTAAAATTAGTTTTGTTATTTTAGTATGTTCGATTTTTAATTAGTTTTGTTTCGTAAGTATATTTCGCTTTTAGGTTTTATATTATCAATGATGACTATGTTCGTGTTTAATTAGGTTTTGCCCGTTAAGCGTTTCGATTACTGTCTTTTTAAATAATAAATAGCACTTTGGTTAAAATCTACATCAGGGGCGTCGCTCTAAGCCTGAAGAAAATACACCGATGCATAAAACCTTGCATACCTTTGTAGGCCACATATTAATTTCTGCGAGGTAGTAAAACATGAATTTAAATGGTTTTTACATCTTAGCAAAGACATTAAGAATGAAGAAAGATTTTAGCATTAAAAAAATATAAAAAAGTGGATTACAAAGATTAAATTCTAATTTTTGCAGATATTTTCGTAGGTCTTTAATATTTGTTGATTTATTGCTATAATAACACATGTATTCGTAATAATCTTGACCACATATTTGGTACAGAATTCAAGTTAGTAGAGAAAAGCCGTCTGGTATTGCTTTCTATTGTTACTATAAAGGGAATATTTTGCATGCGAAGTAGTCCTTTTATAAATGTGTATTATATATTGAAAGTATGTATGTGTTATCCAGTGTCTAGAATATGCTAAAAGGATTAATAAAATTTCGTATTTGTTTGTCTTACATATTTTCTAGTTTCGAAAGAACCATACGATGATTAGACCTACATCATATAGACCACTTGCAAACGTTGTATGAATATATAGATATCGATAAATATATATAAATTATAAATGTAGTAGAATATTATATGTATATATATATATTTAAATTATTAATATACAAAGGCATATATATATATGTATATATATATATATATATATATATATATATATATATATATATATATATATATGCCTATATATGTATAATATGCATTAGTATATGTATATAGATGCTATATTATTATGTATATATCTAGAGAGGCCTTAATACTGATATGTTCGTGGAAATTCGAGACACCTAAACACGTGCTGTATAATGTAACTAGGCATACTGCCTAGCTTCGGTTAGATTTTCAAAAACATGATAATTTGAATACTAATTATTTAGTGATGGATGAGGTGTGGAGTGCTTAAATTTAAACAGTAATGCTAATTTTAGAGAAGATGTTGTTGTATGTTGTTTAAGTTTTCAGAGAAAATATCTGAAAGTACGCAATGTATGACTAAAATGGAATTAAAACTACAGAGGTTCCATTAACAGTATATCTAATAATGTATATTACATTTACTTTTAAAATTTTTTTTTTTAATTTAATAATGATACGTAGCTTAATTAACAACTTAATTGTTTACTAAAACAAATGCTATACTTTGTCATTTTCTGTTTCTGTTTAAAATAGTATACAATTATTTGAAAAATAATTATTTTAAAAAGGTTACCTCCCTTGAAAATGGACCTATGACGTATGTCTTTGTTTACTTTTTTTAAACAAACAGTTGCTATGCTTATATAAGAAAATACGAAATATGAACATATTTAACGACTACAATGGCTTTTTCATACGGGAATAAAGTTTTTTTGTTATCCTTCAGGGTCGGTTTACGACCTCAAATAATATTAAGGGGATTGTACGTCAATTTATATATATATATATATATATATATATATATATATATATATATATATATATATATATATATATGTATATATACATATATATATATATATATATATATATATATATATATATATATATATATATATATATATATATATATATATATATTTCACATAAGGAGAATTTCACTCGCGGTCATCTTTTAGCCTTGGTCGAGGGCTTTGAGTCTGACCAACAGTTTTTCCTTACGGCCTAGTCATCTATAGAAGTGTGTGCAAAACATTAGCATGATGTACAGAGGTTAAGTAACCTAAAAATTGTGTTGAAAATTCCCTGTTTTTCCCATAAAATACAAAGATTATATAGGGAAATACAACTGGTCAGTTTCGACCCATTTCCCGATTTTCCCGGACATGGCGAATTTTTTGTGACACCCCAAGGCGTTCTCCTACCACCTCACAAAATATCAAGGGGGGTCGTCGGAGGAAAAAAATTTTCGTAATAGAGCTCATATAAATAGAATTTCACTCGCGGTCACTTTTTAGCCCTCGTCGAGGGCTTTGATTGAAATCGACAGTTTTCCCTAAAGGTCAAGCCATTTACCTAAGAGTATGCAAAAAAATTAGCCAGATATACTGAGTGTAAGTACCCTAAAGTCTGCGTTGAAATGGCCCTCTGTTTTTCCCATAAAATACAAAGATTATATAGGGAAATACAACTGGTCAGTTTTGACCCCTTTACGAAGTTTTCCCAGATGCGCCGAGTTTTTGGTGACACCCCAAGGCGTTCTCCTACCCCCTCACAAAATTTCAAGGGGGGTCGTCGTCGGACATTTTTTTTTCGTAATAGAGCTCATATAAAGAGAATTTCACTGGCGGTCACGTTTTAGCCCTCTTCGAGGGCTTTGAGTGAACCCGACAGATCTGCCCTACGGCCAAGCCATTTACCTATAAACATGCCAAAAATTAGCTAGATGTAAAGAGGGTAAGTGCCCTAAAATCCGTTTTGAAATGACCATCTGTTTTTCCCATAAAATACAAAGATTATATAGGGAAATTGAACTGGTCAGTTTTGACCCCTTTACGAAGTTTTCCCAGATGCGCCGAGTTTTTTGTGACACCCCAAGGCGTTCTCCTACCACATCACAAAATTTCAAGGGGGGTCGTCGGAGGAAAATTTGTTTCGTAATATAGCCCATATAAGGCGCTGGTCCGTCGAGGTCAGTTTTGACCCCCTCTCCGTAGACTTTTCGTCCAACCGTCACCGCCCCTCGTGTTCAATCGCCCCAAGGCACCATCGTGCAAAATTTGACGCGCCAGCGGCGCCGGAAATTGCCCTATCGGGCACTTGACCACTTTGCTTTAAATATATAGATACAACTAGCTGCATCCCGTGCTCCGCCACGGTAAATCTTTTTTAAATGTACCAACTTGGGAACAGAACAAAACTAAACACAACACAAACGAACGCAAAAAAAAACACAAACGAAAAAACAAACACAACACTCATAATATAAACACATCTTAATTGCAATCATAAAGGCATATTTCTCACAGTCTAGCCCATAGCACCAAATCGCGCCCTTTCCGAGCGCCGGCGGACGCGTCTGACACAGTGAATGACTATAAAACAGAGGCGTGGCGACCATTTCCGGCGCCCGGGGACAAACTTCCGATTTGACCCCCTCAAACTTACGAATTGCACCCCCTCCCCTCAAAAGTTCAATTTCCACCCCATGCCCTTAAACTTTCGATTTGCACCCCCCTCAAACTTTCGATTTGCACCCCTTTTGATTTGAAATTCCCCCCGCTCAAACTTTTGATTTGCACCCCCCTCAAACTTTCGATTTCCACCCCCCCCCCCCGGTCGCAATTTTTTTCCAACCCACTTTGGCACCCCCTAAGGTTGGCACCCGGGGACACATGCCCCCCCCCCCCCCCTCGCTACGCCTCTCCTATAAAACCCCCCGCTTGTCCGCAAACCGAAAGATAGAATAATAATAAATAATATACAATAAATAATAGGCAATATTTAAAATATCCGTGTTTTACCTACCATTTATCACTTTATCAATTCACGCTTTTTTTTCCAGTACTTTAAATTTTAAAAATGTACAATAGAGTTTCATAACTAAAACCATTGCGCACCCAATGAACGTGATGGCGCGTCTATAATATTGCGGAATAGTTGATTAAAAATTATAATTAGTAAACAGTACATTCAGTGAATAAAATAAATAAAAGATAGCCTTTTATCAATCAATGCTAATTATAATATTCCAACAATAATGTACTCTTACACGTCTGCATAGTTTGCATTCACATTTTGCTAATTATATATTCCAACAATTATTCCGTCTTGCAGATTTTGCATTCACATTTTTAGCGTGAGTTCAATTTATTTTTAAAATACCTCCCTTGGCAAAATTACTAAACAGTTAAATTAGATTTTTCTAACCTACAGCTATTATGTTATTAAAATGTATCCACTTTTTCTGGGAATATAAACGAAAATAACATTTGATATTGATCTTTTTAATATGTTTGAGCAATGTGCGTGTATTTAATATTTTCTTTACGTTATGCAAAAAGTAAGAACAGTGGCAATTATAAAATAGCTCTATGTCATTATATAAACAAACCCTACTCTATTACTTATAATAAGACACTGCGGTGCACTGAAAAGCACAGTATGGTGCGATGTTTACTTTTATGGTTCCAAAATCTATAGCGATGACGGACTGACACACGCTCAGCCCGCTTATAATACAGATTCCGGTAGGCTTAAATAATTTAGTGTTATGTTTGTGATTTTCCCGGATCTATCTCCGCAACTGTTTACATTGAATAGACCATTCATTTTTTTCCTATAGAAAGACCTATAAGGGATTGATGAGTGGGGGCAGTTATACATCAGAGTAGTAGTTGGGTTGGTCAAAAAAAGGAATAAAAACAGACAGCATGCAAGCATAAGCGGTGAAGAAATGTTTGGAGTCATGAAAATCTTTAGCTGTCCTTGAGATCAACTAGGCAACATTGTAACTAAATAAAAAATGTATGGCTAAAAAGATTGCCTGAATATAGATATTTAATTTTGAGTTACACTTTTAATATTGTTATGGTTGAATTTAACAGATGTTCGAGCAACTCAATTTGCATTGACTAAAATTATTTCGTAAATACCTTTCACATTGCATTGACTATAGTACTGTTTTCAAACGAATATTCCTTATGATAAGAAATATATCATTAAAGACTCAACTTGGAAATCCCTCTCACATAAAAAGAACTTCTGGCCTGTGTTGTGGTGTGTCCAGGCAGCAGAAACATACTTTAACGAACTGACCCGCGACGTAGCATACGCCGCTATCTAGTTGTTTTATTTTCTACTGATCAACAATTCATAATTTGTGAATTCGAATCGTGTTTCTTAGACCTTTAACGTTAGAGCCAAGTTAAGGAGTAGATTTAGGGAATGTTTTTCAGTTTAATTATTATTATCCGCGTTCTAATTTATGTTTGTAAATTATAATGTTTAGTTCAGTTTTCCCACCAAAGTACTATAACAAGCAAAATAAACAAACATTTATTTAAAGATCGTGTAGTACCTTAGCCTATACAATAAAACAAAGATGTGACACAAACAGACCCACTCAAAACTTCAGACACAACAAATAAACACATCGAATTAAGAGAATTTGTGATGTTTTAAATTTAGATGTAATGAAATTCTTATCATTTTGCTTGTTGAACACTAGAGAACATCTTGGTTGATGTATACAGTATAGTTCATTGTTTTTCTGACCTTTCAAATATTATAAATACGATCTTATTAAAAAATCAGTTTGACTCCCCAGCTCATACGACATCCCCCATGCCTCTCATCTGTATCGTCGAGGTAATATTCTGTCCACTGATTGGCCACTGCACACAAATCTCTAGAGAGAGGGCCGCGGCACTGTTTAGCATCATTGTCTGGGTACCACGAGAAACACATCTTTAATGTTCTCATCCACAGTGGTGCTGAACTTTGGACCTCGAGCTTCCATTGCATCCAACACCCACCGCTTCGCTCATCAGTATCGTCTCGGTACACCGGTGTGAAGTTGTTTATGTTAGCACAAAGTGGTGAACCAACACCGCCTCCACATTGGTCACCATTTCTCTCAGCGTACCATTGATAACAAACTCTAACTTGCTCAAACCAAGATGGAAACCCGCTTGACTGGATACCCCACTGCATTCGACATCCCCCATGGCGATTATCAGTGTCATCCCTATAAACAGTCGTCATAGAGTTAGGCTTCGCACAAAGAGTGTTGGCAACTCCACCGCCGCATTGATTTGCATCATTGTCGGCCCACCATTTAAAACATAAATTTGTATTTTCGGTAAACCAATTAGGAACAATTATCTGATCTTCTATGAACTTCCCTAAATCCTCAATCTCGCTTTCAACCAGCAGATCTTTGTTCAGCATTGCCGCGACTCTTTCTTTAGCGCTGTTCAAAACAGCGTCGTTGGATTTTCTTTTCGCTGCAGCAATAAGCCGAATCAACTCGTTCAAATAACTGCGGAGAACGTAGTTCCTAACTGCAGTCTCCATGGACGTTCTCTTTGTCTCGTCTGATATTAGATCACTGATTGGTTTAAGCTGGCCAGAAAAGAGCCATGGGTCTAGGTCAACGCTAGGCTGCCAACTCTGATATCCGTTTTGGGTCAGAAGATTTGTGTCGCCTCCGTAGTATTTCACAGTTTGTGTGGTGGAGCGTTCAAATCTTTGATCAACTGTGGTGGATCCAGTTACCGTTCCTCCGCGTAAGGAAATGATTTTCAAGAAAGATGCCTTGGCGTTTCTTTGAATCTCCGTTTCTGTTTGAGAATAAAAATAATCTGTGTTTGTTTCAAATAGCATCCAGATAAAACCCCCGAAATTGGCACTGGAGAAATAGTGAGTGCCAAACTCATTGATAAACCGGTTGTAAGCAGTAGGGTTAGACGCGAAAGTTCCTGTTAGCATTCGATCTATGTAGATTTGGGCAAACCGATCCAGATCAAGAGCCCACGAAGGGTTGACGTCAACACGAGTTGCTGACTCAAAAGACGACACGTCACAGATATACTTGGAACTGTTGGTGATTGTGTTCTGGAGCTTCTTGTAGTTCTGGCTGGCTGAGAAGGCAAATTTAAACAGGGAACCTTCCCCACCCACATCAGAAGACTTTGAGCGTCTGACTTCGTTGTAGGTTTTGTAGATGTTGACGTCAGCTGTCAGCCATCCTCCCGGAACTGACGTCATATGCCAGATCTGCAATACGACGAAATAAAACATATTAGGTCTTTGTTTAAAAAAAAAGAATATTGCTTAAATTGGCATTTGACCAAGAAGATTCATTGAGCGGTGTCGTGGTGTGCAGGCCGCACCTAGTGGCTACATGCATTTGGGGACATGAAGCAAATAATTCGCAGTTTTCTGATGAACTAATGCACTATTCATTTAAATGAAATCGCAGTTATTTAACTACAGAATTAAACATATATTGTCTACACCCAACAAGGTAAGAACGAGTGTAAGGCCGGGTGACATCAAACATAGGTTACTATAGTAAAAAATCGGATCTCACCTGGTCAGGTAGCTGGTAGACCGTCCGTGCTGGACTTCTCCAGTTCCTACCACTGTTGCAGGAGAAATTGAGCACCGGATTCTTAAAGCCGCTGTTGCCTTGGAAATCGATGGGCGCCAAGTCTAGCGTGGTGATGTCAACACCTCGGATTATTTTCTGAACACCAGGGGGCGGGTTTGTGCACTCCGTGATACCGGAAGTACGGGTTGTCAACAGGCACATGGAAGCTAGAAAACACCAGAAATGCTGGTAGACTACCATCTTGATTTAATCTGGGGAAAAAATGACACAAATGTTGCACTGATAATAAAGCTGCACAAAAAGAACGGGGGGGGGGGGGGGGGTATAATAGTAAGTAAATAAATTGAAATGTTCCACATCGTTAAAAGGCAGAATTCGGATTACACAAAGGACCTACAACTTTTGATCATTTGATAACAAATAATCACGAAACATCTGAATTAGCAATATTTGTTATAGGCAATTCAATGAGTACGGTGATTTTATTTTACAACCACTTAACAGGCTCAAATACATGATTACAAATACACTTTGAATTACAATTCCCATATTTACATTATCTATATACTACTAAAAGTCAAGTTTGTTTACATGTTTGAATATTTATTTGTTTGCCTGATCGAAAATTGTGATATGTTCGACTCTATCTGGAAAGCTGTAAAATGGTATGCAGGTAGAGAATAATTTTTTAATGCAGACAGACTGTTGATCACAAATTTATTTAAAGACGTTAATTAATTTATTGATTTATTCCTACGCAGAATAACCCATTTTTTTTTAAAATATTTGAAAAGCCACTAGACTCGGCGGGACCGTGACGTCACAGGTTTTTGTTTACTCTTTAGTACAATAAAATGGCGGCGTCTATTGAAGAAAATTGTGTTCCCATTCAAAAGTTTAACGCGTTCTAAATCTAATTTTCTGTCGGTCATAACTTTAACAATACGTCCGTTTGCTGTATTTATTACGTTCCAACACTTATATCAATTTTCAACTGTCTTTTTCATTTAGTTTTACGATAAATTTCTCTAGATCTAAAGATCAGCTATCGAAGGAAATTTATGAATCTAGCCTAGATCTAGATCTAGCCTAGATGTAGGTCACTAGATTCAATGTAAATTCTACATCTAGAATCTATTTCAGGCCTTAATTATTTTATATAAATCTTTGTTTGGCTTATTTAAGATAAAATTTAATTTGAAAGTTAGTACTACTAGACTTATTTTTAGATCTAGATCTAGAATCTATACGCGTAAATCAAGTTGCATAAGGAGACACATAGTATAGTATAAAAATTCACTTGTGACGTCACGAGTAAATAGCTAAAATGGTAGCGTAGTCAGCTCTCATGCAGGAGGCACGGGTTCTAGACCAATATGTCAATGAAATTTTTTTTTTCAATTTTTTTTTTAGATGTGAATGATAACGTTGCCTATCTGAACTTGGCAAGATACAGGGCAGGTGAAGTAGAGTTCATCTGTTTCTTTGTCCTAAGCATATGAAAGGATAGTGTGGTCAGATACATGCTCGGCTGGAATTGTTTTTTAAACGATAAAAACATGTTGTCTGAGACTTGGCAGGACACTGGGCAGGTGAAGTAGAGTTGAGTAGGTCACCTGTGACGTCAGTTTATGAAGGGATAGTCCGAAATCGGTGTTTTCGGTGTTTTTAAAAGATAAAAAAACATATATTTGAATGTGGGGTCTGTTTTTTGTGACGATAAGTGACACTGCAGTAGCGTACCGAGGAGGGGGGGGGGCGGTAGGGGAGGGGAGGCGGGGGGGTGGGGAGGGGAGGCGGGGGGTGGGGAGGGGAGGCGGGGGGGGGGAAGGGGGGGGTGGGGAGGTGGAGGGGGGAAGGGGGGGGGGACATATGTTGGGGCGCCAAAATGGTTTGGAAAAATAAATTGATAGGTTGAGGGGGGTTCAAATCGAAAGTTTGAGTGGGGGGGGGGTGCACATCAAAAGTTTGAGGGGGGGGGGTTCAAATCGAAAACTTTGTCCCCGGGCGCCGGGAAGGGTCGCTATGCCTCTGAGTGACAGACGTGATGTTTTTTGATGGATGACCCCCGAAACCCACAGTTATCCAACGGATGACGGGTATTCTAGTATATATATAAAACGAAATACTTACTTAGCCAAAAACCCATGTATGAGACTGAAATGTGTAGGCCTACTGACGTTATGTATAATGGGGCTGACAATGCAAACCAGGATCTTATTCTTTGTCTAGCACATTTTTTTATCCGAGGTGACATATATACAGCTTGGGAAAAACAGCGTTGTGTTAGTTACCATATTTTTTGTCCACGTAGCTTCAAGCTGTCGCCGAACATTACGTCCATTTTGAGATCCTTGTTTTATAAGTATGTTTCGTTTTTAAATAATTCTGTTATAACCAGTGTTTCTTCCAGACTTTTTTCTCCGGGGGGGCACTTGAAATCTTCGGGGGGGGGGGCGGTAAACTTTCTTCGGGGGGGCGGACACTGTTAAAAGTATATATTTTCTATATAAATTATATAAATTTCATTTCGTTCGGGGGGGGGGGGGGGGCGGTAAAGAAACTCTGGTTATAACAAGTGATTAAAAATATTGTCTATATCCCGAGTTGCCATCCCTTTTAGTGTTATATAAGAATATTCTAGAAAGTTTAGGGAAGATCACTCCCGGTTTATTTTTTGATGTGTGCACTTTAAAGGTCGTAATAACCTCGTTGCAGATGTCTTGTCGTGTAGGCTTGTATGAAGAAAGTCATGGGGGTAGGAACAGTGGCGTAGCCAGGATCGTCTCAAGGGGGGGTGCCAATTTTTACCCGGGGACAAACTTCCGATTTGCACCCCCCCTCAGACTTTTGATTTGCACCCCCCTCATACTTTATATATATATATATATATATATATATATATATATATATATATATATATATATATATATATATATATATATATATACCGAGGGGTCTATGGGGGGGGGGTTATGACCCCCCTAACCCCCCTCCCCCCTGCCTACACCACTGGGTAGGAACAGCAGAACATCATAGGTAGTTTCCAAAAAAATAGCAATATTAACAGAAAGTGATATTTCAACGCCAGGGGTAGACAAAGGTACAGAAAATAGTCCAAGTAAAGACAGAACAGTCAGAACCGAACGGGATCCGAATCTACCATTCCACACGGCACCTATTCGCCTTCGCCTTCCATGCATCAAGTCAGACGTATAACCGCCTCTGCCAATCAGCCCTACAAAAATAAGGCTTTCAAGGCAGGCCACTATCATAGCTTGTGCAGGTAGACGCGGGGTGGCTTTGACCCTTGACCCGAATGATCAGACCGCTAGCTTTCAATAACACAACAAGGACCAATATTCGACCATACAAACGACACACACAAATACCGGGACGATGATACAGACAAATAGTAGCTTCCTTTAAATGGGTGTAAACGTGTAGAGGGAGTGGAAGCAGGCGTTGTAACTGAAATAGCAATATTAACAGAAAGTGATATTTCAACGCCAGGGGTAGACAAAGGTACAGAAAATAGTCCAAGTAAAGACTGAACAGTCAGAACCGAACGGGATCCGAATCTACCATTCCACACGACACCTATTCGCCTTCGCCTTCCATGCATCAAGTCAGACGTATAACCGCCTCTGCCAATCAGCCCTGCAAAAATAAGGCTTTCAAGGCAGACCACTATTTTCTGTTGATATTGCTATTTCAGTTACAACGCCTGCTTCCACCCCCTCTAGGTAGTTTCCAGATTCGTAATAGTTTCCTGCAGCGAAGTTATTCAACTTGTATAAGAAATAGTTTATAGATGCATAATGCGTAATCAAATGACCTTGTCTTTCGTCGTTTTTTACCATCTACAACTTCACCTGCTGAACCATGGTTGGAGAAAAAACAGCTATGGTTACCTCCACCATATCGGCAAGAAATCCTCAAGTTGGCCCATGAAAACCCGATGTCTGCACATCCACTTTCTGCCTCAGGGGATACTGCTACTAAGCAGATGGAGTCTACAACATTCAATACTCAAACTTCTGTTGGTTTATAGCTGAAAGACCATTCATCTTCAACTTGTAAATAGCATATCATTATCCGGGTTTTTCCTATTATTTTGACTTGTTTGCTTTTTAGAAGGTTTTTAGATTGATTAAAAGTTCTACTACTTTCAAAAGGTCTTTTTTAACCCTAGACAATAGATTTCGAGTCTACGAACAGTTTTTTTTTCTAGTAATCTTTTATAGTTTCGTATAATTCATCAGTCTAGAACCATCCCAAAAGAATCCGGGTGTTGCGTAATATATATCAGTAATAGATTTACGTAACAGTTCTACCTGTGAATTCATTGAGTGACCTTGTTTTCTAAAACTGAGTTATTTAAATGTATAGAAACCAGGCGCTATATTTATTGTATCTGAGTTGTTATGGCGCTCGTTTGTTCATGATACCACCCAAAATGTATGAAAGTCTTGAGTCCCCCACTGTAATAGTGAGGTAAGCACCCTTCGGCGATCGCCCGATGGTCAATGGCGTCGCGGGACGCTCTAGAAGTCACCGGTTACACTACCGCAGGGTCGCCGGCAATCATTGAATCGCATGTGCCACCGTGACCATATCGTATTTTGCTGTTTCAAATAAAAGTAGGCGCCATAGTGCTTGCGGTGATCAGTGGTGTCAAATTTCATCCTACTGGGTTGCTGCCCCTTCAAATTAGTGTAGTGTTTTATAATATATTTAAAGAAAATCATGTATTTTCTCATTTTTAGTGCATTATTACATAAAAGCTTGTTATTAAAACATTTTTACGCATTTTTAAATAATTCTGTTTCACGAAAACAACATTTATATTATAATTTTTTATTTTATCTGACTTTTCAAATATTGCTAATACAATTTTCTTAGAAAATCAGTTTAACTCCCCAACTCATACGACACCCTCCATCCCTGTGATCTGTATCATCACGGTAATAATCTGTCCACTGATTGGCCACAGCACATAGATCTCTAAAAGGGGCGGGGCCGCACTGTCCCGGATTATCATCTGGGTACCACGAGAAACACATCTTCGATGTCCTTATCCACAGTGGTGCCGAACTTGGGACCTCGAGCTTCCACTGCATCCTGCATCGGCCGTCTCTTGAATCAGTGTCATCTCTATATTCAGGCGAATAACTGTTGACATTAGCACAAAGTAAAGTATCTGCTCCGCCTCCACATTGTCCACCATCTCCATCCGCGTACCATTGATAACAAACTCTTACTTGGTTAAACCAAGATGGGAACCCGCTAGACTGGAGACCCCATTGCATACGACATCCGCCATTGCGATGGTCAGTATCATCCCTATATTCAGATGTCATAGAGTTAGGTTTCGCACAAAGAAGATTAGCCGCTCCACCTCCGCATTGACCTGCGTCATCGTCACCCCCCATTTAAAACATAAATTTGTGTTTTCCGTAAACCAATAAGGAACAATTATCTGATCTTCTATAAATTGCCATAAAGCTTCAACCTCACTTTGTACTAGAAAGGTTTGGCTCAGCATACCAGTGACGTTTTCTCTAGCGGTATTCAAAACATCATCTTGGGTTTTAAGTTCAGCTGAGGCGACAAGCCACATCAGTTCATTTAAGTAACTTCTGAGCACGTAGTTCTCAACTGCTGATTCCGTTGACTTTTTTTTTCTTTTCGTCTAGTATTAGATCACTAATTGGTGTTAACTGGCCAGAGAAGAGCCAGGGATCTTGGTCAACACTTGGCTGCCAACTCTGGAATCCGTTTTGTGTCAGGAGATTTGTGTCGCCACCGTAATATTTTATTGTTTCTGTGGTTGCTTGTGAAAACGTTTGATCTATTGTAGAGGTTGTCGATGTACCTCCGCCATGTAAAGAAATAAAGTCTAAGAAAGATACCTTGGCGTTAGTTTCAATATCGCTTTCTGAGTGTGAATAAAAGTAGTCTTTATTTGTTTCAAACAACATCCAAATAAAGCCACCAAAATTGGCACTGGAGAAGTAGTGAGTACCAAACGTATAGATAAATTTAAAGTAAGCAGCGGGATCTGACTCAAAAGAGTCTTTAAGCTTTCGGTCTATGTAGTTTTGGGCAAAGTAATCCAATTCAATTGCTTCAGATGGGTGAAGGTCTACGTGAGTCGCTGATTCAAATGACGATACTTGATAAATATACTTGGATTTATTGGTGATTGAGTTCTGAAGTTTCTTGTAGTTCTGGCTGGCTGAGAAGGCAAAGTTAAACAAAGAACCTTCCCCACCAACGCCGTAAGACATAGATTGTCTGACTTCGTTGTAGGTTTGGTAGAAATCGACATCAGCCGTTAGCCAACCTCCAGGTTCTGACGTCATTTGCCAGACCTGTAAAACATAATCTGCATTTTTTTAAAACTGCCTGTTTAAATATTATATAGGTACAGGGGCGCAGCGAGGGTGGGGGGGGGGCGGGAGATGCGGACCGCACCGGGTGACACCATTTAGGGGGGTGACACCAAGGCAAAAAATAGCAAAATATATAGAGAAAAACTCGAGGGGGGTGCAAATCGAAAGTTTGAGGGGGGGGGGTGCAAATCGAAAACTTGAGGGGGGGGGGGGGTGCAAATCGAAAGTTTGAGGGGGGTGCAAATCGAAAACTTGAGGGGGGGTGCAAATCGAAAGTTTGAGGGGGGGTGCAAATCGAAAACTGGAGGGGGGGTGCAAATCGAAAGTTTGAGGGGGGGGGTGCAAATCGAAAATTTGAAAGTTTGTCCCTGGGAAGGGTCTCTATGCCTCTGGGGGGGTGACACCATTAAGTGCCGCACCGGGTGACACCCGACCTCGCTACGCCACTGTATAGGTATTTACTTATGGATAAAAGGCGGCTGAGAAAAGTGCTACCACACCTTCCCTTCCTATACCCCGGTCAAGAAATATATGAACTCTACTTCATCTGCCCAAGGAATCTCTAGGTCTAAAGAGTATTCTTTTTCTTTAACTTATGGATAAAAATATTTAATACAGTTTACGCTTAAGTTTAAGTTAATTCTGAGTTTTATTTTTATATGTGTATGGGTATTCTGCGTATAGTATTTTAAAAATTTGTTTACCTTCTTTCTTTGAGCTACAGACGAAAGTAACTAATTATCATTACTGTACTGCATTGTATTGTTATTTTGTACTTTAGATTAAAAATTTCTATTGTTTGAGTAAAAATGTACGTCCTAACATCACCCCATTTTCCCTTTCGTATTCTCCACGACTTCTAATGTTAAATAAATCCCACCTGATCGGGGAGCTGTTTAACAATCCCACTTGGACTCTTCCAGCTTCTGTCGCTATCGCAGGAGAAGTTCAACACTGGCTTCTTAAACCCATTGTCGCCTTGAAAATCAATGGGCACTACGTCTAGACTAGTGATGTCAACACCCAGTATCATTTTCTGTACACCAGTGGGCAAATCAGAGCATGCAGTGAAACCGGAAGCACTTGACATCCATGGAGCCGAGAGAAAGGTAAAGATGAGCCAAAAGGATATCATACTGGAAAAAAATATAAAATTATAAAATCATAAATTATATAAATATGTTAGATATAACGCCACCTTTAAGAGCCTTTGTTCAATTCTGCGGATGGGGTTGCTGTTGACCAAATTCAATTAAGTATTTGTGGAACTGGTTAACTGTTTGTAATACTCGTTCATTAAGTGCATCAGGTGGAAGGAATACTATTTGCCTGAATATTACCCGCCTTCCAAATTTCCTCTCAGTCTATTTCTTCCAGGTTCAAGTCAATAGAGTGTCCCTGAGTACACCTACCTCTTATATGTACTCTTATTTCATGTTAAAGAAAGTAAAAGAGGCTGGGCATCGTGCTGACCACCTTATCCCTTCATATGCCGAGGTTGAAGAAACAGGTTTACTATACTTCACTGGTGCAATGGATCGTCAGGGTTGAAAAGGGAACTTCACTTTTATTTTTTTCCATATTTACGTCTAGAATACCTCGCGTAGTTACATCACGTGGATACAGTAGGGTTGTTCGGGGGTCGGCGTGGTTGACTCGGTAAAGCTCGTGGTTGCTATGCCAGATAGTATTAGTTACCTCACAAGTTAAAGACAGTTACAAGTACTATGGACGTTTCGACCCAAGGTTTTCGTCAGCACACAACAGCGTGATTACAGATTAGACAAATAAAGACAAACAGTAACACATTTTTTGACTTAGCTCGACAGTGAAAACACGTCTTGTCTGCTAGCCTTCTCACGCGTCTTTTCTTTTGGATATCGTGGCTAGCAGACAAGACGTGTTTTCACTCTGCTCTAAAATGTTCCAGTGTGCTTCACTTAGTCCTAGAATTTGTAGCACTTGTAGTTTGTCAACTATATTGCAACTTGAGCGCATCTACCAGTAGAGTTCGGACATCCCATGTTCTCAAGCCGTACGATAGTTTTTGGAGGAAATGTTTCTATTCTTGAGTAGAGTAGTCGTCATTACGGGACTATTTTGACATTTCCCACACAGATTCATAAATCTAATATGTGGAGCTCGGCTCTCGCCTCATTCAGTATCTTGTCGTATTTAGTTTTGTTTTTTTGTGGACCGTCCACTATAAAACTGATTATTAAAATTAATTTTAAATATTAAAAAAAATCTCCTTACCTTAGCGAAAATGAATTTGTCAACTGCAGATAGATTACATGAACTATATTTATAATGTTTTGAATTGCCAACTAATCTTTCTAGAAGCTATAGAGGCTTATGGAGCGGATATTGCGTAGTAGAGGAAATTACGAAATATGTCAACCTCCTACCATCGCATGCTGTGAAGGAAAATTGCCTCCGTTTTTGAACATGATTGTTTATTACTACTGCACGCTTTAATCAGTTATCGATCAGCTCATACGGAGACACAATTCTATCCACACACAACATTTTTGCTAGCAGTTTCGTCTATGCTAACAGTTTAGTCACTTTTCATTCAATAGAATCCTGTGCGTTGCATTGTTTCGTATTTCCTTGATTGAAACGTAGCTTCGGTTCCCTGTAGAACACAATGATTAGTGTGGGCAGTACATTGCGCTGGGTGACAAGAAAGATGCTCAACGGAAAAAGCTTTTTTCTGTTTGCGCTTTTTTCTGTTGCGCATCTTTCTGGGAACCATTGCGCTGCTGCTTTTTTCTCTCCTTACATATTACTTTATTTCAAATTAAATACAATTACACCAACAAAAACATCTCAAAAGTTTTTTGGTCCATAAAGTTAGGCTTTGTCATAACAAATGCTCAACTTACATTGGTATATATAGGCTATTTATATATTTAGGCTATATATATATATATATATATATATATATATATATATATATATATATATATATATATATATATATAAATTTATATAAATATAAACAGAGACTATATATAGTCCTTTATAGTGTGTTATAAGTTTTCTCACAAATCAAATGTGTACTCGATGTGTAAGTTAACTCCTGAAAGATAAGCTCAGCATTGAAATCCCCACCAATTCCTTCGGCCACTGCTGTTGCACAGTATTTCAAATCCTAAATTAAACATGCTTTTTGCCAACAGCTATAAGTTAAGACACAATTGACACAATTTTTTTTTGAGGGCGGGGGGGGGCGATTTTTAATTAATCCCCTTGCCTAAGCCACTGCATATAACATAAAAGTTGTTGAATATAAGAGCTGGTGTGAAAGCTAGTTAAGTCATGGTGTGTGGGGCTCAACTGGAATAGGCATTGCTAATATAAGCACCACATGTTGTGATTGTTTTTTTTTCTCTGATGAGAAATGATCATCTAGTCTCCATGCTAGCTTAAGTTTCCTCTGCAACAAAGTTTGGAAGTAATATCACATTTTGGTACAACATTTGATTTATTCATTTCTGTACACTTAATTAAAAAAAAACGAATTTAATCAATTATTTTGGTCAAACATTAAAATAAAAAAATTCGTGAGGTAAACATAAAAAGATGTGTCTGTGTTGAGTGCTGTGACACATGATAGATCAAACATAGGCTACCATAGGTTGGAACAGACTTAGTACTCCACAATTTTAATCAGAGTGTATTGCCGGTAAAGCTAGTATTACATACATATTTTAACATAATTAAGACTAAAATTAAAATACTTAGAACAGTGTTGTTTTGCTTTAAGAATGACTACGACTGAATTATTATTATTTCATATTTTGATGTTTTCACAATAATCTGCAAGAATAGTTGGCAAAAAGATATGATAAACTAAAAGCTAAGTAAAATAAAACTTTTGGTACATAGCTCTGTTTGTTAGAGCATACAAATTATGTAATCATACCCTCCAGTTACAAACTATATCATTTTTATTTTGCACTGATCACATCACCACTATTTTTTTTGTTGAACTCACGACCTACAATGAAAATCAAAACAAATGAAAATATTAATTTGTATCTATTGAAGATAACAAAAAAGCATACATTTGGTAAATTAACTTGGGACAAACATTGTTGTTTACTGTACAAGCTGATAGGAAACTGTAGTTACATTAGCTATGAACTCATATGTAACTCTCAACGCCTGAACTGCTTGAACACTACTAACAGTCAAGAAAATGTCAACAAAATGCTGGCTGTCACTTGAAGTACACAAAGCACGACCTTAATTGACAAATGGTTTTGAAATAGTTTTGTACAAACAACAGTCTTTGAAACAGCTCATTGTAAGGTTTTAACCCCCGGATGTTTATGTTTTTTTTTATGACATCATCATACCAGATCATCATCAAACAGGTCATCAAAATCTGAAGAAGAACGAATATATTAAGAGCCTAGACAAAACTTAAATTTTAAGCATCTCTTGTTTGTAATGACATTTTTTGTTTGTTAAATATACAGAAAGGTAGACTCCACTATTATATGACTTATTCAAATTATGTATAGAGCAAATGAAATAGCTGTGTCTGCCTTACCACATAGGAAAATACAACCAAAAACTAATATTCAAAATCTTCAAAGAATAAGCCTATATTGAATTTTAGAATAATCCTAATAAGATGTGTATAACCTAATCGTTTGCATGGATCAGAAAAATGAAATGTTTTAAAACCTTCCAAGGTTATGTGGTTTCGAAAACACAGTTGTAAAAAAATAACTCACCATTGAAAAAATCAGAGTGGACAGCTTTTTCGTTGGCAGCAAGATCCATAAAACATTTAAGGTTTCTGTATAAAGTACTAATTAAGTCACTCTGCTAACAACAATCGATGGGTTCATTTAGCGGGCAAGTATTTTTAATCAAGCTTTCTATTTGATTACCATTTTTAAAGTATTGGAAACAGGTTTAATAAAAATCTTTTTAATAACAAGCTTTTTATATATTTATATACTAACAAAAGAAAAAAAATGATATTCTTTAACACACACACGGTAACATAGAGAAATAAACAACATGAGCTGTAGTATGTGTAACTACAAATTCGTCAACCACTTCTGACACCATTGTAACAACAGTAATATCCAATGTTGATAGGATGATACGGTTGTTGTGGGTTCGTTTGATACACTAACACAACAGTAGTTTGCAACTTTAAACTTTATTTACAATATCCACAATGAAATGATAGTGATCCATAGTAGAAGAAAACAACTGTTATAGTACAATCAAGAAGCAAAGTAACGTGGTGACATCATACTACACATTCACAGGCAAGCACACCTCGTTCACCTTGCGCTCCACCTTTTATACACAACTTTCTCTCTCCTTACGTCAATGAACGATCTCACAAAAAAGCATGTAGTGTTAAACAAGACGCCAAGAAGTCACAAAAGCAAACAATCAAGTATTGACATAACATTAAGTTGATCATAGTTAATGACCAGTTTCAAGTTGGTAATTTCTGTGATGTAAGTTGTTGTTTTTATTATTTTTTTTATTTTTTTTTTATTTTTTTTTTTTTGCATCAGTTGGGACCTGTTTTAAATTTTATTTATACTTATCTCAAAAAAACAACAAAAAAAAAGCAAAAAAAAAAAACAGCGCCACTCTTCTGAAAATGGTCCTAGTGGGAATGGCCACTACCCCTAGCTTCTTCTTCAGAACGCCTGTTTCTAATCAAATTAAACGCCAAAGAGTTTTCAATCTCAATTTTCAAATGTGTTGAGTTAAGAATATAAACCTGTGTGTAGAAGGAGATATCACGTTTACACTTGCGTGTATGTATAATGATCCATATGTATAATCTGCTGGTTGGTTTGTAGAAAGCACATAATGAAACAAGCATCCAATGAAACAAGCATGTACATTTTATATTTCAAAGCTAACTCTTTAAAAAATAAAACCCACAATAAAACAATTAAGTGAAATGTATATGTAAACGCATGAAGATAATAAAATCCCTCTTCCTCCACCTGGGAAAAAAACAATTTCACAAACCATTGCAAATTTTAAGAAAAAAAAAACACCTATATAATATCAATTTTAAATGCACTACAAATAAAGAAATAAAACAAGGTTTCACTATTTTTAAATAGACGTTTTTTTGTTTTTTTGTGTGAAATATTTGACACTTTTAAGCAAGAAACGATATAAAAAGTAAGGATTCCTCTCTAGACATAGCTATTTATTGGGCAGATGAAGAAGGGTTCATATTATTATGTTTTTTTTTACCTCGGCATATGATGAGATAATGTGGTCAGCACTAACCACAGCCGTCTTTACTTTCTCTAACATGACTTAAGTATCCATCAGAACTGGGTAGATCAGGGACGTTCCATTGACTTGAACCCGGATTCAAACTCGAGTCTTTGGTATTAGCAATTTAGCGCTCTACCTCCAGGTCACACCGTCCAATCCAAGAAACGATTAGCAACCAGCCAATAAAATATAATAAAAGCAATTAATTTTTATTTTACTTGATGACACCATTCCCGAAGCTTTAGAAGGAAACCAAACAGTAATCAACCTTTCCAGAACTGTAAGTAGATCAAAGCTTAGCTGGACTGAGTATTCGTGTCGTGCATAAATATGAAAATTATAAGAAAAAACAGAACTAGGAAGATTCGGATTCATTGCATGTGATAATTTGAATACAGATTCTATTACTGAGAAAAACAAACAGGTCGCAGCTCTGCCCACTAGTACAAATTTTATAGACACGATTCCATTGTAGACTAAGAAACTAATTGTGCCTCTCTTCTTTATCATCCAGAAAACACATAATTGTATAAAAGCATTGTAAAAACTCATGAATAGATAATTCGAGACATCTCCGTGAACATCATTTAAGTAAGGAATATCTAAGCTTTCTGTTTTTGTATTTTGCTTCAGGTGTTCCATGACTCTTTGTATTTTAGCTGCAAAGAAAAATTAATAATTTATTTCAGCTTAACTAAACATTTATGAGCAAACATTGGGCAGTCTATATTTTAGGTTTAAGTATTTTTTTTTGTTGTTGTTTGAAACTATTCATTTTATAGATATATTTTTTTAAGCTGCCTTAATTAATAAATATATTTATTGTGTCATGTTGTATAGAAAAATAGCAATCAGTTTCCCAGCTATATTCACGGATAACTAGATAGATATGTTTAAAACTGTTGTTCCTACGTTTAATATTGCATTAAAATTGAACAACATTCAAACCGTAAACCCATTATTGAAAATATAAAAAGACGATATAAACAAAAAATCTCTCAACATTTAGAACGCGCACCACATAACTTTAAGTTTAAGGCGAAGATTGTT